GTTTCCTTCGTTGAACATTTTGCAATCCCATGCAAATTTTGCTTCACGCTAGTAACGTAGCGACAATTACTATTTTTCCGCTTATGAAAATAAGATATATACCATTCTAGCTGGTTTCACGATTACATGGAATTCAAGAATTTTTCGTTCCACAACTAGCATATGTGGTTCGAACTAATATTATGATGATTTTGTCTATTCATGCAAATACCATGGCCTGCTTAAATACCTGCTTCCCTTCCATAGCCATTAGAAGCTGTGGAACTGCAAGTCTGTCGTACAGCCGGTGTAACGATTTTCATCAGTCATTTTCGGTACTAGTGTCTGTGTATATCGATTCTGCCTGATTTTAAACTTTAAATCATAGCAGGCGCCTAATCTGTGAACCTTAGCTCCGAGGATCGTGCAAAATAGAAGGCTAAGATTCTATTTCCCATTTAACCGTTGCAATTTTGTCATGTGATAATGCTAGATTGGTTTTTCTGAAATGCATGAAACAAAAATTATTTTCTGAATGCGGTAGAAGCTAAGTTAACTATATTTTATTTACCTCTATCTATTTAACAATATTTCATATTGGCAAAGATATTAACTTTTAGAATGACACGAAAATAAACGTGCCTGAAATGGCTACTCGTTCCTTTCAGCACTGTTCACATATGGCAAATGATAACATACGTAAGAAAAATAAACAAATACTTTCATTAGATTTGTTTTCGAAACAACAGAGTCAAATCAACAACCCACAATGAAGCAATAAAAGACCTTCGGTTCATGCAAGTTTAGCTGGTACTTGAAGACATACAACTGTTAAAATAGGTTCATTCGCAATCCAATTGCATTGTATTTGCCGAACGACAGTAAGCTCCAAAAACTTGCGGTGATAATTAGGCTGCGGAAACGACAAAACAGTTTCGTAGCATCTTCGTTCAGATTCAGGTCTGCTTTCTTGTATACTAGAACCTAGATGTTCATTTTAGCATAGAATCTGCGTTAGCAAATCGTTGTACTTAGAACTGATTATATGCTTTCATAGTTTATTTGACCTTAAAGTTCTTTGTTAATTATTCAATTATCTCTATCGGTAATTCAGCTATATTTCGTTGCAATTATCCTTTTCTTCTCCCATATTGCAGTGGTGGTCGGCATGCAAGCGAAGCAAACCTCCTATATCGTTTTTTATTGATTTACTAAGAGCAGAGGTTCACAGACCATAGGTTT